AAAAAAAAGTGATTGATACAATCATGTATGGATTGTGATAGGAGCTTTATGAGCCCCCCAAAAATGATTTAAAACAAAAACTATGAGAAAGTCTAGAAATTAATGTGAAGTGAAGCAAATTTATGGTTTAAAATTTTTATCTGTCAAGTTATTTAAATTCATGATATATAAAGTATGCATAAGTGATTGCAAAATTTAAGAGATCTCAGCAGTCTATGTTAAGGCGACAATATATTTACCTTTTACATTTTGCTAATAATATATTTCAGAAGTTTGTAAAACTTTATTTCTACACCTATTCAACTCTACTCTGTCCCATTTTACTTATTAAAAAATACTGCTCAATTGTTCTACTTAGGTCTAAAACAAAGTCTTTTAACAAATGGGTGGGGAAAGCCTACTTACCTGAATTAATAAAATTTTTTCAATTGTTCACATTTTAAAGACATCTGTTCATGGTCTGCATTTATTCATTTATCACTTGCCCTGAAACTTAGCATAGCACCACACATACCTGATGCGATAACAGGATCTTTCATAAGTTCTCTGGTTATTGGACATATAAATTCATCAGGAATTCCAGAGGAAAGGGATTTCATCTTTGTCCTTAACTCCTCAATTTTCCTCATGGCTTTACTACGCAGCCCTAGAGATTCTGAAAGAAACATTCTGTTAGGATTAGAGAACTGCTAGTAACCTTTATGCAAGATTTTATCCACCACCAAAAATAACCAGATGTGCTCCTATAACATGGTGTTATATTCTTTATAAATTCTTTAATGACTTTGTAGTACTTATTTTAAACAAACTACATTCTGAGAGTTCCTCAAACTTTTAGGTTTAGGACATTTATACAAAAACAAGAAAAGTTCATTTGGGGGGATTAATTTACAAAACGCCGCCCCCCCCCCCCAATTTTAAAGATGTTCACGTAAGAATTCCTTGTTATATATCCAAATTTTTATAAATTGGAATTATTGATCATTTGTCTAAAACTGAGTGTGTAGAAATTTCATTTTGTTTATTTTAATTGTTAAGTGTATTTTTAATTTTAGAAAGGATAATCTTAAAGCTATTGGCATTTTTAGAGATAATAGGTAGGTGTCATGGATTGAACTGTATCTCCCCCCAGTAGATGTGTCAACATAGTGGGGTCATGATTCGCAGTGGTTTGGAAATTATGTAATGATCTCCATGCTGTGATCTGATGTGATAAATCAATAAGGGGATTAAGGGCGGGATGCAACAGTCTAATTTCCGTTTTCCTGTGGTGCAGCCTGCAACACCTTTTACTTGACAAGATAAAAAAGGAGAAAGAAGGAACAGCGATCAGAGGGATGTGTTACCATCAAGAAAGAAGAGCGAGGAGAGGAGTGTGTCCTTTGGGCCTGGATGCCTGTACTGAGAAGCTCCTAGACCCAGGAGAAGGTTGCTGCCAAGACATATGGAGATCCCCAAGGAATGCTGAGCCTGCAGATGCTGAGACAGGGTGTCTCCTCCCAATGAGAAGGCAGATTCATTTCCTGACCCACACAGAGATCATGAAGTCCCTCTATGGTTGAGGGCTCAGGCTCACTCGAACTCCAAACCAAACTGACTGCCATCAAGTTGATTCCTACTCAGTGTCCCTATAGCAGCGGTTCTCAACCAGTGAGTCACGACCCCATTGGGGGTTGAAAGACCCTTTCATAGGGGTCGCCCGATTCATCACAGTAGCAAAATCACAGTTATGAAGTAACAACAAAAATAATTTTATGGTTGGGGGGGTCACCACAACATGAGCAACTGTATTAAAGGGTCGCGCCATGAGGAAGGTTGAGAACGGCGGCCCTATAGGATGAGGTAGAACTGCCCCTGTGGGTTTGAGACTAAATCTTTACTGGAATAGAAAGGCCTTTCTCTCACCCAAACACTTCTAAAAAAGGCCTGGTGAAAAAACCAGCCATGCATGCAAAACACTATACAACCAGTTGTACTCTGATACGGGTGGGGTCACCACTCGTCAAAATGGACTTAATGGCTACTGAAACAAAGATAATCTGGTCAAATGCTCACAGTAGGCTTGGTAGCAGTCCCCTTATACTGAAGGATGCATAAACTCAGGATTCCTCAGCTCTGACACAAACCATCCATCCCGGCACTGAATGTTTTACGTCAACTTGGCTGGGTCAGGAGTCTCAGTAGTTTGGTATTTGATACCTAGTAACCCCCCATGAGCCCTGGTGGTGTCCTGGGTTCCTTGTTGGGCTGCTAACCACAAGCTCAGTACATCAAAACCACCAGCTGCTCCTCAGGAGAAAGACAAGGCCGTCCACTTCTGTAAAGAGTTAGAGTGATATGGGAATCTTCAGGGCAGATCAACCTGTCCTATAGAGCTGGACAATGAATCAACTCGATGACAGTGAGATGGATATATTTATACCACTAGTTTTGCTTCTCTAGAGAACCCAGCCTATGCCAACCCCATGAGGCTTTGGGGAAACGAGGCACCAATGAGAACATGAAGCTCATCCTGCCCTTCTGTGCCGAGTTGCACTGTCTCTGGACTTTACTGACTCAATCTACAGAAATGTGGTGAGCCACCCTAGCAGGTGATTGATGCTTAGTACTACTTTCCTATGACTTACTCCTTCAAGTAATTCACTAAACTCTAACTGGTGATTATAAAACAATTCTTTAAAAACCACCACACAATGAATGGGGTTGTGTGTAGTGGAAACCACCAGCCCATCTGTAGACAACTGGACATCCCTTACAGAAGGGTCACAAGGAAGAGACAAGCCAGTCAGGGTGCAGTATAGCACCAATGAAACATACAACTTTCCTCTAGCTCTTTAATGCTTCCTCCACCCCACCCCCACCATCATGGCCCCAATTCTACCTTACAAATCTGGCTAGACCAGAGCAGGTACTCTGGTACAGATGAGAGCTTGCAACACAAGGAACCCCTCAGGACCAATATTGAGAGTAGCGATACCAGGAGGATAGGGGGAAGGTAGTGGGGAGAAAGGGGGAACCAATCTTAATGATCTACATATAACCCCCTCCCAGGGGGACAGACAACAGAAAAGTGGGTGAAGGGAGACATCGGTCAGTGTAAGACATGAAAAAAATAATTTATAAATTATCAAAAGTTCATGAGGAAGGGAGAGTGGGGGAGGAAGGGAAAAATGTGAGGAGCTGATACCAAGGGCTCAAGTAGAAAGAAAATATTTTGAAGAAGATTATGGCAACATATGTACAAATATGTGCTTGACACGATGGATGTATATATGGATTGTGATAAGTGTTCTATGCGCACCCCCCCACCCCAGCCAAAAATGATTTAAAAAAATTAATTTCTTTACACACTGAATGATCCTGCAAAACTACTTATCAAAGTGATTCCTCGATTTGATAGAGGTTATTACCCAGAATATAAAAAGAACTCCTATAAGTGAACAACTAAAACAAACAAAGCATAATTTAAAAGCGGGCAAAAGAATTAAATGAACATTTACCACAGAAACCAATAGTCAACAATCATAAAAAACTGAAAAGATGTTCAATGCTAATAGTCATTATGAAAATACAAATCAAAACCACCATGAGGTATTAATTTCCCAATAGGATGGCTGGAAAACAAATATCGATGAGGATGTAGAGAAATTAGAACCTTCAAGCATTGTTAACAGAACAGTATACAGTCACTGTGGAAAATACTTGCAAAGTTTTTCAAAACATTGATCATAAAATTAGCATGTTATTAAAGAGATTCCCTGAGAATTTAGAGACTTTAGAGAAAGCTATCTTATCACAGGAGCCTGGTGGCACAGTGGGTGGCACAGTCTGACCCCATCAGCTGCTGCTAGAGAAAGATGAGGCTCTCTGCTCCCATACGATTTACAGCCTCAGAAGCCCACCAGGGTAGTTCTACTCTGTCCTAGGTAGTCACTGTGAAGTGGAATTGACTTGATGGCACTGAATTTCTAGTTTGATCACAAAAATGACTATTTAGGGCAGGGCACCTCCAAAATCAGGCGTTCTGTGTTCATAATGGCTGCCCTCCCTCCCTTCCCAGGGTTATCCCAATGGCTACTTCTCACATAGTTCCTACTTCATCCACTATACTGCCTTTTTCCACCCAAGAGTACCAGAGCTGTATATTTTTATTTTCCCCGAGACATATAATATAGGCTTTAAAAGAAATTCTAACAGACTATTATCATGGACTGATAGTGTCTCCCAACAGTATGTGTCAACAATCATGTGCCATGATTCTCAGTGTTTTGTGAATTGTGTAGTGATGCATTCATCTCCATATTATCTGATGCATTTTATGCATTGTAAAACCTAACGTGATGTATGAGGTAGGACAGAGGGTAGTTCAATTAAGAGGCAGGATATAATCTACAGGATTAGACCATATCTGAGTCAGTCCTCTTTGAGATATGAAAGATCAGAGGGACCTGACTATCACACCTAGAAATAAGAGGTAAGGGCACAGCAAATCCTTTGGGCCCAGGGCCCCCGTGCTGAGAACCTCTCAGACCCAGATGATTGCTGCCAAAACAAATGGGACATCTCCAAGGAACACAGATGTTGAAAGACAAAGGGACCTTCCTCTAGGACAGACAGACAGAGCAAGCCTTTCCTTAGAACTGGTGCTCTGAATTTAAACTTGTAGTCCCTTGCAGTGTGAGATAAGAAATGTCTTTGTATTATGGTTAGGGTATGCGTTTTGGTAATTTGCCATAAGATTCTACATGGGAGTAGAAACGGCTTGATAATCTGCCCTGAGTATTTCTACACCATGCTATAATTAGACAAAAGCCACTATCACTGGATATTAAAAAGGACAGTAAGAGAAGGATATCAAGGTCCCTCACTTTTGAAAAGATCATTTTATTATACTTTAATAAGAAAAACTTTCATCAATACTTGTTTCACAAACAAACAAACAAACAAAAAAAGGGTGGTGGTGGTGGTAAAACTCATCTTTAGAGTTTGTTTTGCAGTGAGCCATTAAAGAGGTAACACCGAGTGGCGAGAGGTGTTGCCAAGTAAGGTTAACTGCAGGAAGCATCAAACAGCCTAACTATGAGCTGTGTCTGTGAACACGATGTTAAGGTTACGTTAGGCTTGCTATTTTGTATGATTTGGTAGGTTACTTTGGGATCTGGAAACACTCAAAATTTTTCCCAGATCAAGGAATGGTAACTGCCTCTTCATTTTACACATTTCAGCTGTAAATTGGCTTAATAGGAACACTGTACTTTCAGACAGTAGGAAAAACCTGTAGCAGGATTCAGTCTTCAGAAAAACATAAAAGTGAATCACCCTCTGCCAAAATATTATACAAGTGTATTAATACTTACACTAGAGGATAGAGAACACTGATTCAAAATGCCCCAGATAAGAACAGTTTACATTGAGTGTTACCCTTGTCTAATTTTATTGTCATTAAAAGTGTATTCAGATCACCTTGCCCTTGGGGACATGATTCATTATCAAATCACATCTTAACCAGACACAAACATCTCATTTAGTGCACGCATCTCCAAAGGCTGGGAGTGGATTGAGAATAGTGAATTTAGCGTACAGAAGGAAAAGACCCTTAACAGCTGGGTAATAAACCAGTATGGTTAAAAGGTAAGACCAATTCATTGTTTACTA